AATGGATACATGTTTTCAACATAACTAAAACATAATTCCTTGGAGAATCCGTATTTAGCTATTCAACTATATTAGGCTTTTAAAGCAATATCTTTAATATACAAATTTTCCATGATGGATTTTGTAATTTACCAAAAAGCTCATCTGATTTTAAAACTAAGCCTATATTTTATATACATTATATTTTGTAGCTGAAGTCTATAAACTATTTCATCTGAAAGTATAGGCATATACAAAGTATAGGCATACGTCCAGTAAAAAGAAAATGGGAGACGATTAGATACTTTCTAAGTGTAAGCTCAGCGTCACACGTGGATGCTTTTTATAATTTAAACCTATTCTATTTGACTGTGTCAAAAACATCAAATTCAGACTGAAAACAGAAAAGAACGTATATCTACATTCTTGATAAAGCACCGTTTAGGCACACTGAAGTCCTGCCATTTTCATAACCACTTGGTATTGCTATCAAAAAGTAAACATTTGTTAATATTGTGATTTAAATGACTGAAAGTAGCTGTTTATCTTAGCCTCCATAAGAATGCCAATTTTCTAGTTAAAAAGAGATCGAAAGTAAAAGTCTGCTTTCAGAATTATACTTCATGTGTCTTTATACTAAAACACATACCCCTAATAGGAATGTGAGATGAGAAGGCTTGGGGGTCTGTCTAGTCCTAGGGCTGCCACTTCCTGGCCGTGCGTCCTTGGTGGGGTCATTTACCAGGACCTCAGCTCTTCATCCACCCCCACCTCCGCCCACGCTGCTTTACTTCACAGGGATGCTGTGGAGAGTGATGGATTGATGCAGCCGGAAGTGCTGAGAGCACCATCCCGAGGAGGGACCATAGACCTCATGAGCTGAGTGCTTACCGCACATCAGGGCATTTTACTATGCACACCGCTGATGCCTTCGGAGAGGTTTCACAGATGAGGCAAGTGGCACTCAAAAGGTAAAGTCAACAATCCAAGGTCCCACAGCCAGCAAGTGACAGAGATCATATTCAAACCTAGGACTCCAGTGTCCACAGGGGTGTCCCTCTCTTCATAAGGCTGCTCACAGACACAAGGTGTTGCTAGTCTTGGTATTTTTTTAAGTCTTTTGGGGAGGGGGGCGGTCACTAGGTTTATTTATTTATTTATTTCTAGAGAAGGTGCTGGGGATTGAACCCAGGACCTTGTGCATGGTAAGCATGCACTCTACCACTTGAGCTATATATCCTTCCCCCAGTCTTGATATTTTGTGATGTGTTATTTGTACCATATTTGTACAACTTTACAGGGCACACAACATTTTTCTTCCTACAAAAAGTCTCTCTTCTGAAAGATGAAATATATAACAACCAAACAAGGCTGCTTACATTTTAATGAATTAAAAAAATGTATTTTCTCTTGCATATTAGAAACAAACAAATAAAAATCTCAATTTGACCAAGGACTTCTATATTAAAGTCTCTTTAAAATACATCTCTGAAGTTTTTTTTCCCCCAATAATTTCTTATGGTTATATAAACATTCTCTAAAATATCATCTTGGCATCTAAATAATAAAAGTTCCCCTTATACTAATTAGCAGTAACAATTTTAAATAATTCAAGAATTTTAGAAAGTGCTACACCTGCCAAAAAAAAGCCAATCTCTTTGCTAATGGCGAAAAGTGTCTTCAATAAGCATGTCAGCAATGTTATTCTTGCAGCATAGAAAATGCTAAAATAGCACACTTCTAAAATAACTACATACTGACAAATGCAGGAAATTTATATTTTAGGACTCAACTGAGTCTTCAAAATCCAAGTGAGCAAAAAGCTTGCGTAGACTGCAAATGAAATTCAGTCAAAGAGCACAATGTTTAGGCTGTTCGAGAAAGTGTTACTGATGTGAGTTCTTGCAGCATGGGGTTCGGATCCTTTAGACCTGTGCTTGCCTGCTACTCTCTCCTTCAGCTATTTCCTTTGGTTAATTTGGTTCAAATCAAGACTAAGGGAAAAGCCGGCATCCTCTGGGAGCTCCTACTTATTTTAAATGATGGCCCTTTCATAATCCCTTTGGGGCTCTTGGCTCCCCCGCCAGGTAGAGAGGATGGAGAACTCCGATTGAGGACTGGTACAGAAGCATGACAGACAGTGAGAGCAATGGGAATGGCATAAAGGGGAGGGCAGAAATGGGCAGGAACAGAAAACAGAAAGCAAAGCCCCTCTTCTCCATCATGCAGAAATCAGGACAAGTCAAAGGAAGGTTACCCTAAGGGCTGGCTCAAGGATAGAAATTTCAGCTACGTTGCCATAGATCTTTTGTACTGTCCGAATATTTGAATATTATTACGTGGTTAAGCGGCTTATCACCAGGAAAACAACTTTGGGATACTGGTTGCTGAATCCTGTTGTGTTTTGCTGAGCCATATCCCATGCCCAAACCAGGAAAATCCCCCAACTATATATTATATTTTGCTTTTGATGCATAGAAAAACAAAATCATAATATATATTTTCCCTAAACAGTTGATAACAAATCTTCTGGTCTTAAACACCCTTCCTGTTCCTTCATCTAGAGCCCTTAGAAATGGCACATTTCTCCTAAGGAGAGAGGCTATGCCAGTTCTAAGACACTGCTGGGTGTAGTCATGACACACGCAGGCATGCTGAGAGGTCCAAAGCTCGGAGCTAACTCGTGGAGATACACCTTATTAGCCTTCCCAGGGTGCTAATAAATCTCCACTATGCAGGGTGCTGCCTGGAGAAGCCTGCCTCCTTACCTTTGATATGGGGAATGAAGTGGTGTCGGAAGGGGGAGTTGGGGCGGGAGTCGCTGTGGGTGGAGCTGAGGCTGCTGGTGCGCAGGTGGGACAACCTCTGCACACCAGGAGACAGCAGCTCTGTGCGGCAAGAGTCAGGGGCAGGACAAGGTGGAAACAGAAAAGGAGAGCAGAAATTAACACAGGAGCAGGGACCACGCCATCGTTCCAAGGGAGGAAAAAAAAATAAAGAACGTTAATCAGGAGTCTGAAAAAGGAGGAAGGAAAACAGGTTAAGAAGGCACCTGCAAAGGGTTAGGCACAGTGGGGAGAGCTCGCAGACAGGGTCAGGTCAGCACACTCTCCGAGAATAAATGGCTTTCGTGAGAGGGAACGGCCACCAGGATGCTCTGTCAGGATGAGACCAGCTACCGCTGAGCCAGTACTGGACACATCACTTAGACTCAACAACAGCTGGTTTTAAAAATGTGCCTGACAAAACAGAACCCTCTGAAACGCATGTTAAAAAAGTGACTATCATTTCCAGAACCTTGAAAAGAAGGACTTATATGTAAGGGTCAAATTCATTTTTTTTTTAAGTTGCGAGCTTTTTTTTTAATTTACGTTGCCTGCATAGAAGGGAAACCTGTCTGTGTTCGCTGGGCAGCAAAGAGCCACTTATGATCCTGAGAATTTTGTCAGTGGTGGCACCAGCGAGCTGGAAACTTAGTTATCTCGAAGAGGAATGGTCCATTAACCTAAGCCCAGACCTAGGGATCTGCGTCACCCTCTGGCATCTGAGGTGCTCTCTGGGGACCACAACTATGACAGCAGAGCCCCACCTTGAAAAAATAACTATGAACCCTAACAACTGGCATCACATGTGTCTATAACATATTGTGAAGGGCGAGGAGAAGGGCTTGGAACGGGGACTGTTCTAACGGCTCTTGGCATCAGAACCATGACTGGAACAGAGGAAACCTCCCACTGCTCAATGAGGACATGACCTTTTAGGGAAACTGTGTCCCTGACTGACCACTCCCTCACTACTCAGGGGTCTCTGGAACAACGATTTCCCTGCAACCGTGTCATTCTGAAGGTCACGGCTACAGTCTTAGTCCGTGGTGGCATAAAGGATTTCTCATCACCCAGAGAGACAAGGGCTTACATCCAGCTCCAGGTCCAGGACATGAATAAATTAACTATAATTGTACATGCAAAATGAAAGGAGTGTATTTCCTGAAAATTCTCCTTTCATGTAACTCAACAAATACCGAGTAAATATTTACAGGCCAAGACAAAACGATACGATACTGAAGGATCACAAAGTAAAAATTTAATCCTCTACAAGGATTAAACCTATGGCTTTGGAGCAAAGATTGCAGCCTTTTTACACTCTGTACCTTTGGTTTTATTTTATAAAATAAGTTAGCATATGAAGGAGTTCATTCTCACCAGCCTACACAAAAGCAAGAGGCTGGAAATGAAGTCTTCGTAGATGTACGTCACCCCCAAGTTTGTTTAGAAGGCTGAAATCTTCCTGGGGGAGTCTATTCCTCAGGAATCCTGGGTCTGTGCCGGGATCTCCATGCTCTTTCTACGGCACACAGGAGACATCCACTAACAGTAAAAGGAGCTACATTCTGCAGAAACAAAGGTTAAATGCAGCCCACTACTCTTTAATATTCTTTATCACAGTACATCTCTGATGTGTTTATGTTTTCCAAGTCTGACTTAAAAGTCTTGGGTTGGAAGTCATCCTAAAAAATTACCAAACCCAACCCTGAGGTTGGATAGGATACTTCCTTCCAGCAGGTGCTTAACTGAGCAGGCTCAGGAACACCAGGTGCCTGGATGGAGTATAATGAGCAGGTCAGTAAGTGGCTAGTACTGGATTTTAGATGATGCTGATAAGCCCAAAAGGCACAGCAACATATTTTCTTTTGGAGCTCTCTGTTTTAAGTCTCAAAGTGCTGAGATTTTCTTCAAGTCTTAAGAAAAAAAAATTTCCTTTGCTTCTAGTCACTCACTATCCAAATATAATTCTTTAATAAATCCTAATGAATATAACCATAAAATGACTCTTGTTCCAAGAAGAGAAATAACACAAACTATAGTTGGACAGGCGTTTTCACTTTTTTTCTGGGAGAAGGGGGCAGATTTTTAAATTTTTGGCAGCCAGATTTTTAAATATATTATCAGTGGTGGGGGTTAAAAATCACATAGAAACACAGATTATTACACAGAGTGAGTCCCGGGAACAGGTGCCCTTACCAGGTCTGTGAAAATGCTGGGGAGAGCGAGACGTGGTCGGAGTGTAGCTGTGGCGGCTGTACACCGGGGAGTTGATGGAGCCCTGGCTGGTGGACCGGTGGATCATCCGATCCCGGCCATCCTGGTACCCCTGGAAGCAAGTGCGAGACAGCGGGAGCACAAGACATACATTCAGGCTGTTGTTGGGTTCAAGGGAAACCAAGCTGCACCAAGGTTGCCCAGGAACTACCATGTCTACCTGTTCATGTATCCATTTTAGGGCCGTATTCCTTAAATGCATATATTCCATGGTTAATGCGTTTTGTTTATGACCAAGTGCTATTCACCTCTGAGTCACAGCACTCGGTTATAAACAATCACAACACTAGAGGTTTTATCATCTCAAATTAGAGCGACTACCAGTCCAGTTTTATACAGACTATCCAACAAGTTATTTGGCTTTAAGATAAGACTATTAATTGTATTACTATGAATATTATTTTTAGATGGGGTAGACCTAACTCCTAAGGAGTTCGCTCATTAGATCATAAGGAAGTGCAAAATAGTAGAAGCACGCTGAATGAACAATTCCTTGATTATTATCTGTAGCAGCTTACAGAAAAGAAGTGCTGGGTCAGACTTGGTGCTGGACCATGCTCAGATCTGAGTTGGTCTGAACTTTGGCCACTAGTCTCAAAGCCACCCTCCAAGAGAAAAATCACGCAGGAACAACAAAAAGTGCTAAGGCCACTAAGCAGGCAGTCAACGTGGGTTGAGGGCAAAACCAAGACATGACTGGAACCAGGGGTTTAGTGTGAAGGAGATGTTTCATTTTGTAGATCAGTAGCATGAGTTTTCTGAAGAACGTTCATCAAATGGGCTGGGAGAGTAACTAACTGGGGGGTTGTGTCTTTGGTTTTGAATGCGAGGAAGTGCATGTTGGGTTGGGATGGGGCCCACGGCTCACTACAGAGTAACTGCTGATGATTACGTGTGGTCCACACACGCAGAGGTTATTCTGCAGGGAATGGTCAGCCTGGTGGACTGGATAAAAGCCACTCTAAGGTCTGTTTACCCTGAGAAGGGGGGCAAGACTATTGATTCTAGACTAAGAGGAGCGGCCTCCCTGAAGACGGCCCTGCTTATAGAAACACCGTGACTGCTGTTGGCTATTTCAGATAATCCCATAAGCCAGGATTCAGATCAATTAATTATGGACGGAGGAGACAGTCCAGCATCTGGACAAGTGGCTCCACTCCCGGCAAACACTTTCCTCCCACTCAGAGACACCATGTAAGGCTGTTTTTAATTCCCTAGTCTTCATTTAAAAGGAAATTTACTTCTGCGTCTTATAGTCATATCTTACGTGTAAGGAATCCTACATTCAACATAATCTTGCATGCAGTTTTTCTGTTTTTTTTTGTTTAATGTTCTTTTGCTAAAACCCCAGTCTAGGGAAGGAACAAGTAACTCCCCAATTCCACCCATTATAATTTTTAAAAGTGTACTTACTTCTGCTGATGGGGTAGGAGACAAAGTCCTTGGAGACTAGAAGAATAAAAGAGAACTAATGTCACAATGTTTATTAACTCATGATCAGTTTTAGAGTTGCTTATCAGAATCGCCTGGAAACATTATTCAAAATACACATGCCAGCACCCTTGCTGGTCCCCCATCTTCTGACTCAGTAAGTGGAGAGTGAAGTTCAGACAGGCACACAGTAACAAAGCTCCAGGGAGACTGGGGCACATGCCTCTGCCTCAGGACCATGGGTTCTGATAAATATGTTGCGATGTTTTAGGTGATTAAGTTAGACAAATGGGAACTATTTCCCCTATATGTTCAAACTATGCTGTTTACTACTATGAGTTACATTATCTACTGAAACATAGAACACGGTTATTAACTAAATTATAACTAGAGTAGTCACATAATGTTATGATGACCAGATCTGTGGCTTCCTGCCCTGGTGGCCTTGCTGACATCACCATTCACTTCCCGGCTTCCATACTCCTAGGCACACAGGCTTCCTTGAGGTAGTCAACCGACCAAGCCCTCTCTCACCTCAGGGCCTTTGCACTTGCAGTCCCCTCTGCCCACAGTGCTCTCCACTCAGACACCTGCTGGGCTTACTCCCCATCTTCAGTGAGGTCTCTGCTCAAATGCACTACCACACAGTGCCTTCCAATGACCCTCCTATTTAAAGTAACAACCCAGCCCCAGTATGCATTCTCCTTTCTCTGCTTCATTTTCCCTCATTGCTCCATTACCCTGTAAAATTGTTATATATTTATTTGTTTATTATCTGTCTCCTACATTATGCTGCAAGCTCCACAAGGGCAAGGACTCCATTCATTTATGACTAAGTGTTCCCAGCGACTGGCATGTATTAGGTACCCAACAAATATTTCCCAAATGAATGAATGAAATGTCTACAATTAAAATGCAAGAAGATTTCAAATAGAAATGAAATGCAAACAAAGCATTCTGAAGCACACGGCCACCGATGGATTTCTTAGCTTCAGAATTTGCCCTTTCCCCAAATTTCCAAGATGCTGCTGGCTCTCTAGTACTCCAGACTCCCCCCAAGCCCCGGGGTCTGGTCTGATCTGCAGCCCAGCCCGTCTCTGGGGTGGCTTAGCCAAGTAAAGACGGGATCCTTGAGGGCAGGAGCCAGGTCTTCCCCTGCTGACTGCAGCCTTCTGCATCCACACTACTGCTTTCTGAAGGCACAGATGGCTACACAGAACTTCAAGCTTGCTCTTCTAGTGTTTCTAAAATGGCAATACATGGGTTCTATGGAATAAGTGTTAATAACTGAAGGAATAAATAACTGAGTAGCTTGTAAACTCTTCTAAGTTGTCATATCCATGTGCTGGGGAAGAGTTCACAGATACGTGTGACTTCCTATCGGGGTGGGGGCATCCTCCCATCCAGACTCTATGCTCAGAGAAACCCACAGGTCATCATTCTAGGTGGTGACGGTAACAGTGCTGATTATGATGACAGCCAGCATTTTTGCTGAGTACCTACTCTGTGCCAGGTACTGCTGTAACCTAAATATTTCACTTAATCCCTACAGAAAGCCTCGAAGGTAGGTGGTGTTATTGTCTTGAGTTCACAGATAAGGAGATTGAAATATGTAATTTTCCAAAGTCATATGGAGAGTAAATACTGGAGTCTGGTCCTAAACCCAGAAATGTTCACTTCGAAGCCCAAACTTTTGGGCTTCATTTTACTGCCCAAAATGGAGCCACTGGTAAAGACAGAAGCATACACACATCTCCCAAATCTGTAACGTCATAAAACCACTCGTCTCCCCTTTGCTCGTATGACTGGAACACTAGGAGGTCCTCATCTGCTTGCTCCAGGACCAGCCCCTGTGCAATCTGTTCAGGAATCCTCCTTTGCACTTTATCCCCTATGAACCTCTCTGCAGTCCAATAGCAACTGAACAACCCAGGCCTATCAATCTGCATTTGAGAGCTGCTGTAGATGCAGTTACAGCGATGGGACCACTAGGTGGCACTACACGAAAACGAACACCGCTTTCTGCCCAAAGGAGCATTTCAATGCAGGGCTATGCTCAGGAATAAAAACCCAGATCGGATAATCAGAAATAAAAAGAAATATATATACGTACATATGTATTATATATAAAATATATATAATTATAATTAAATATACATGTAATTATAAAATAAAATTACACATAGATATTGAGAATAAATTAAACAGAATCATCACGTCCTCATGACCTTTCTTCATCTAAGATCTCAAAGAACTGTGATAGTTTATAGATAGTTTACTGTCGGTTTTAACCTTGGTTGAATGGCTCATTTCAGTCCACTACTTGGGAAACACCTCTGGGTGAACTCAAGTCAGTCTATAGATGACTCCAATTTAAAAAAAATAATAAAAAGGGGAAAAAATGAGAGTGAGTTGAGTAGGCCACGGGAAACAGACCAGAGCCCATGTGACCTCCGGGACAGGGAGGGGAGGACACCAAGGGGCTGAGGCTGTGCCCCAGCCTGTGGGCCATGAATGTCAGGAGAGCATTAATAAGCCCCCAGAGGACAGGTGGAAACAACAGTAGTAGCTTCCATTTGCTGAACATTTACCCCAAGTCTCGCTCTCTGTTAATTGCTCTAATAATTCGTTGGTGAGATTAGCTTTAACAAATGATAAATTATCTAGATACACAGATATTAATCGTTAATAGTTTATTTTATCCTGACACCCCATGAGGTGGATTCTGTCATCTTATCTGTTTTACAGACAAGAAAACTACGATCAGAATGGTTGTTTCACAGTCAAAGTCACACAGCCAGCAGGTGAAGTGCCTAAGCTGAGTTCGGGTGCCTTGATTCCAGAACCCGGGCTCCTACCATTGTGCTGTGTCATGGCCCTACTCTCTCTACTTTTTCTTTTCTTGCACGTTCTGTCTTACAATGCTGTAAACTGAAGCTGTCCAAATGTAGGGGGTGTGCTCTCTCCTCGTGGTCCCCATGATGTCATGGTCTCTCTCCTTATAGTCCCCATCTTAGTGCCCGAGACCAAGATGCCCCAGCCCCCACCGAGGACCCTCCCTCCATGATTCCCCCTGCCCCACCCACAGACTCTCCCCTGACAACTTGGGCTTCCGTCCCGGGATGCTGGTTCTGTACCCTACAACCTGGTGCTAATGCTTTATGCATTTTCTGTGGTTGGTCTGCTCCCCTACCTCTCTATCACCTCCCAAGGGCAGGGATGCTGTGATAGGTTTTTGACTACCTTAGAGCACCGGGTATAGAAGCCTGCAAATTGTGGGCAATCAAAAGGACTCTCTGATTTACTCTGATTCCAATCAGTAGCTCTTATAAATGTGACAAAAGAGAAATAAGTCTCTCACTCACAACGTCTGGGCATTTATTACCTCTCCCAGGCTCTGCCTCTCCTGTTTGTCATCATAGCCCGAAGAGTAGAAAGGCTCGTAGGTAATGAGATCTGGACGTTCAATGTCATAAATTGCCTTGACCTTGGGAATGGCTGCTAAATCCTTGTAATCCAGGATTTCATTGTCCACTTTTGCCTGCCAAAGTTAAAAAGAAGGAAAAATTACGCTGCCGTCTCATCTTCGGGGAATTATTGTTAGTGCATGTCATGTCCTGCTTAAAAAGTGAAGATCTTAAAAATAAAACCCCAAACACTTTGCTTAGCACGGTCATACTCTTTATAAAATTGCCTGTTTATACCAGATATTAATCATATTTTTAAATAAAGTCACCAAAAGCTTCGGAAAAAGCCTATGTAATTCCATCAAGTAGAGAAGCCTGCAAACCTTCAGGATAATTTTCTAAATTTATTAAGAAGGAAAAGCTCAAACAGATGGTCAAAAACAATTCTTCCAGATGGCTAAAAACAAGAACTGCATATTTAAAAAACTAAATATTTAAAGATCTTCGTGGCAGAATTTAAGAACACTCAGTATCAGCATTATAAAATGTATAATTAATCCTCAAGTATCTATTTGCAAATTAGGTACAACCACTTTTTTAGGTCCTGCATCATATTCCTGCATTTTTAGGTCATCTACGTGATTACTCTATACCAGTGGTCATATTCACATGTAAAACTGACCTACAAAAATGAAAACTGGATTTCATCACAGAAATAGAAATCATCTTGAATTACTCTCTTTCGCATCATCCAGCCCACTCTCACCACCTTGCCACCTTCCCTGTCCCGGAAGTCTTTCTTCCAGAGGCAGATACTTACATATATAGTGTGACCGGGAGAGCCAGGGATACTGGAGCCTGGTCTAGAATAGATGCTTTCGGAGGAAGTCCTGGTAGGCTGTAAAATAAACAGTGACTTGTCAGATTCCAGACCACGGCTTCAGAATCAAGCCTGGCCTAAGTCCCTACACTTTCCTAAAAACTAAACTGGTTAAAAAGAGGAAGATCTTTAACTTTTCTGAATAAGGGAAAATACATCCAAGAAAAGTCAGTGAGAACTGGTTGTACAACCAGCCTGGAAAACGCATTCGGAAGCTCTTCTTTTTTCGCTTGTCCCTCACCACACCTGCGAGCACACTCCTCCCCCTCTCCACTGCCACCATCCTGGCCCCAGTCACCACCTCCGCTCGTCTGCACTAGCGCAGTGGCCTCTTCTGTGGGTCTCCTGCTTCATTCTTGTCCTCTTCAAGTCCACCTGGCACCCAGAGGCCAGAGAGCTCTTTGAAGAACACAACTGGGTTTGTCACTATCCTGCTTTTGGCTTCTGCGTCCATGTAGAATAAAATCACAACTCCCAGGGCCTCGGGATTTTGTCCCTGCCTTCCTTCCCCCCATCACTCACAGGACATGGTATGTATCACTCCCACAGGGTTCTTACCCTTGCTGCTTCCTCTGCCGGGAATGCCCTGATCCCCACTTTTACTTGGTTGATTTTTTTTTCCTCCTTCAATCTTGGCTTAAATACCACCTTCTCAAAGAAACCTTTCTTGATCTTTTTGTTTGTTTGTTTGGGGGGAGGTAATTTGGTTTACGTATTTATGTATTTATTTATTTTAATTAATTTATTTTTTAACGGAGGAGGTACTAGGGATTGAACCCAGGACCTCGTGCATGCTAAGCACACACTCTGCCAGTGAGCTCTACTCTCCCCAGATCTTTCAATCCAGAGCTGATAACCTTGCCATTTCCTCTCATAGTATCACTGTTACTTTTTCCTTCATGGATAACGTTTAATAATCCTGTATTTGTTGGTTTCATCATCGTGTCAATCTCCCTCAGTACCTCTAGTTACGATATCTGCTTTCAGAAGGTTTATTCCCTCACCACTATATATGCCCAATGTTTTGCACAAGTACATAGAAGGCATACATATGTGCTGAGGGAATGAGCTAGAATTTACTATTTGTAAATAAATACTCAGTTTGTGGGTACTTCGATTCATGTTAATTGCATGATGCGAGCCTAACCGCACGGCAGGTCACTGAGGTAGGGTTAGTGTTCGGCCACCGGGGAAGGTAAAATCAACTGGATACTGTCATACAGACTTAGAGGACCCAGAGGGTGCGTGGTGGTGACAGGAGGGGGAGGGAAATGCATGAACTACGATTAACTGCCCCCCACCTCTGCTTGGTATGTTCTGGAAAGCTCTGCAAAGAAAAATCAAAGGCCTGGTCTCGGAAGATCTGGTCCCCTCTGTGCAGCTATTTCTTGGAGAGGATAATTTATAGTTCTATGTTAGGAACAGAACTTTTCCTCTTCAGGACTGTTTCTCCTAATATTTTGGTACCTTGAATATGAGGGTAACTAAGCCAAAACCAAACCAAACCGAACCAAAACCAAAACCTCCTAAAAACAAGGATGTGGCATCACTTTGTAACTCACATCGGAAACAATGAAAGCAAACCCGTCTGGCCAACTCGGGTCAGGCAGTGATGAGACTCACTCTGACAGTAAGAATTTGCTGGAAGGCTGTGATCAATTGTTCTCACCAGTGTCCCTGCTATCTTTGAGATACGAGGGTGGAAGGGGTTGGAGAACTCACACTCCACATGTCTGGCCCTCCTCTCCAAGACCCGCCACATACAAGCAGTTTCCTCCTAGAGTGACAGTCTTCCAATCACAGGCATATCTCAGAATGAGAAAATTACCAAATCTGAGTACAATGCAAAAGAAAGGCGTCACATAACAACACTACTCAAAAAGTCCGACTTCTCAATCCATTTCCCAATCAAAACAAGAGAACTGACACCATCACCACGCAGCCCTCCTAAAAGAGATGTCATGAGAAGATGAATAGCACCTAACATGAACTGCCCACTTCTCACGTGGCAGGCCCTGTGCTGAGCACTTCCCAGGAATGATCGGATTTAATTCTTTCAATAACCCCATGAAGTAGGTTCTGCTACCAATCCTATTTTATGGATCTGGGGAGAGTCACGTACAGGTAGGCGAGGGTCAGGATTTGAAGCCGGACAGTCAGGAGGCAGAGCCCAAGCTCTTTGTCCCGGCACTAAATTGTTTGCCCACATTGTCAGGCGAGTGTGATCATTTATTTCTCATCAACATAGCTTTGGGACAAATGAAGTGAAAGCAAGAGAAAAATATTGAGATGAACTGGTGGAAAAGAGTGCCTGCTAACTGAAAATGGTTTTACTGCCACCAGCTTATCAGAAGCCTGCAACAGCTCAGTGCTGGGGTGGGTGGGGTAGGACAGGGTGTACCCCAGGACAGTCAGACGTCTTCGGTTGCTGGCGTTGCTATGACAAAGCCTTGTTTTCATTAACAAGCAGCGAGGACACTGTGGGAATAGCCTAAATGCACTCTGAGCTTTGGGGTCTCTCCCATGTTACTCATCCTTATTTTTGCCAAATGTGGGTCAGGGATACATTCTGTCTTTGCTGTAATGATGCACCTGGGGATGGCTCTGAAGTGTTTTGTGCTCGCGTGTCCTGTGCACACTGATAGGGACACAGTTACTGGAGAATGCGAGCATGTGTCAAGAAGGGGTCTCTCCTGCTCCCTTCCAGGGATGACAACAGAGGGAAAACGTCTCCTGGCTGAACTAGCCTGTCCCAGCTGTCTCTCTCTCTCTCTCTCTCCCTTCCTTCTTCACTGCACAGTGCTCTGTGAGTTACACAGGCTTTCTCAGAAGCATTTATCTTGCTCATTTACTCTGTTAATATTGTTGCACTAAAGGTTTTAAGAGTTCTCCGATGATCTGAATTCTCGTCAAGTCCGATTAATTCTTCAAAGATTCTCAGATCTCATATTGGAATCACCTCCAATTTGCATACACCTGCCCTGAGTTCTTTGATTCCAAAATAAAGATTTCAGAGATTCATAGTCAGTTTTCAAAGTCAAGCTGACGTTCACCAAGTCCGTGGCTGCTCTAGCCCTTGTCAGAGAGCTCCCTGTGCCAGGTGTACCTTCAGTCAACTTAGCGTCTTAGAGGAATGCTCCAGCTGTCTCTCAGAGATTTGGAATCTGCTCTCTCTCTCACTGCATCTGCCACCATTTGCCTTCGTTTTCTTCTGACCTCCTAACCTTACTGTAAAGTTTACTTCCGCAGGCATCTTGTTTATGGGTTGGGTTACCTTCTTGCTTGCCTATTTGCTTACTTTGGCCATTATTTGTTTAAAATAAAATAGTGGGATAACACATAACTCTGTCTAGTATAATCTAGTGGTGTTAACCCAGTGGGGTTAAAAGGCTGGCTCTGGAGTCCAGTACCCTGGTTCACACACTGGCTCTACTAGTTGTGTGACATTACATGAGTGTCTCTTGTCCTTTTCTTTCCTCTCTCTCTCTCTCTCTCTCTCTTTTCCCCCTTTTAACTCCCTTGAGCTTCAACTTCTCTCCTTATAGAATGGAGGAGGCGGTATTTCTGGCACCTACTTCATAGGGATAAATGAGATGCTACACATAAAGCTTCAAGCACCTTGCCTGGCACATGGCAACTCTCCAGCATTTCCCAGACACCTGACATCAGGCTGGAGTTCTTAGCCAGTTCATCTCCTATAACGAAGGCCAGCGCTGCCTCTGTCTGGCTCTGCACAACAGGATAGTCCTTTCAGATGTGAGCCCTGTAGACGGGACTCCCCTAGAGTTCTCTGTACCTACCACCCTTGGACACCTTCCCATCGGAACTCAGAGACATTAATTATCTCTGCATGTGGGGCAGCAGACGCACCTGGAGCTGAGAGCTGTCCTTCCCCTTCTGGGGAACTCCAGGAAGGGACTCTGTATCCTCCCCGGACGGTCACTTCCTGCTCGCATCTGGGCTCTAGTCACTAACGCCCTTCCACGCCAGATGGCAAAGAGCTTGCACAGGCCTGTCTTAGCTGCCACAGCAGCTCTGCTTTGCTGACTCTTGAACTGTGCTCTAAGCTTAAACGGCACACACAAATCGCCTGCTTTTGGCCACAGCCCCTCCTGGCTTGCACAGTGTATTTGCTCAACCAGCAGAGGGTAGAGATCTCTCCCTTATGAAGATAATAACATTACTTCTAAAAACGAGACTATTACTGTTGAAGTTTTCATCTTAAATATTTAGAATTTCAGTTCTAACCATGTAGAATTCTAAACATGGTGAATTTTATTTTTTCAATGTGTTTTAAGGGGTTAATTAAAAAAAAAAAGCCAAATCCTAGTATTACATCATAGGACAAAAGTAATCCAAATGGTTCAAGACCAAATGCAAATGTAATTTGAGAGAAGTATTTTAAAATGAGAGGAAATAAACATGCTGAATTTTCAATGAACGCCTTCTGCATTACTAAAAGGACCCCTTTTCTCCTTCTAGCTGTATTTTCCCCCTAATTAAAACATAACCTGCTGAGGGTCTCTGATGGCTTTCATCTTCAAAAGGCACAAAGCTGTCTTCCAACATAGCAGCTCAGATCCACTCACTCAAACTAAAGCTCACCTTCACCTCAAAACCAACAACTTACTGACATGTTTCCCCTGCTTCCAATCCCACTGACAGCTTCTTGTTTATCATTAACTTAATTCTAGTGTCACCTCTTTGGGTTGTTACAAAGTTACAGATGACCTATGTTTCCACATGAGCCTTAGGGGCAATTATTTAACCCAAATTACTATTTCGAACCGTTCAAACAGCCAAGTAAACAACACTGACTCACCAAATTAAGTCAATAACCCAAAGAGGTCCATAGCCTTTGTTTCTGGCATTCTCTACAAGAGTTACGATGAACAAAATTATCCTCTTGCCTATATTATAAATGAAGATAATTTCAAATATTTATCCCCAGAGGTATGCTCACCTCTGCTGTACACAGAAAAGGAAACAAGGACCTGTTAAAGCAGATACAATTTATTTACTCTCCTTTAATCCCTCTTTCTTTCATGCCTTACAGAAAAAAACAACTTGAAAGCACAGTTGGAAAAATTCAATTCTTTCTTTTGATGCCATCTTTGGGGAAAAAAAAAAAGAGTAGGAGGAAGGGTGGAAAAAACAAGGTAGACATAGGAAGGGTTTTAGACTGGCTGTGATCTCTCAAAGTATTCTGCCAACAAGATTAGGCAAATAAGTTAATCCTTGTTTTGGCAACAAGAGGAAAGGCCCCTTCAGTAAGAAGCTTCTAGTTGTATGTGGTGGTCCTCACTCAATTTCGTGTGAAGAAGGGGTCTCCATCTACATTTATTTCTCCAGCACATCTTCATATACTTACTTTTGACTCCAAAGAGGCTTTTTATTTTTCTCAAAGGAAAAAAAAATCAACAAAGAGAGATCTCACCAGAAGACCAGTTGTTCATTTCAACAGGAAAAAGAAAAAATGGCATCTGACCACTAACAGTAGATGCTTGAAAATGCACATCTCTTTGTTTTCTCTACGAAATCTTTGTAAAAATCCCTCTGACTACCTTTCACTTGACATTTCCCCCTATGCCTGGTCTTCGTCCATCTGTCCTACAACTTTTGTCAATTCCGAAGGCACAATCACAGAAGGTAAATTACATGGAAGAGAATTTTTTATATTTCCACCCCAGTTCTCATCGTTTTTCAGATACTGACCATTAAAAACACTTACCAGAGCTCTGCCTGGAGATTAAGCAGGGAAATGACATTTTCCATTTATTTTCACTTATGGGCCACCTCGCACGCCTGGTCCCTTCTTAGCAGGAAACTGTGGGAGAGCTCTCTGCTGTCCCTGCCCTCCCCCCACTCAGCAGGAACAGGGATGCAACAACTATGCTCATCTAATTTGCATTCATCCAAAGCCATGCTCTAAGAAGGGAGAGAAACTACAGGCAACTGGCAACCAGACCGGAGAGATCGGATGAACACATATGGGACAACTACTGATATAAGGTGATTGACACCTTATACGAAGTGCTGCTAAGGCGGGACAGTACCTGCCTTGGGTTTCTGTTGAAGTTCACTAGACAAGGTGGTGATAATAGCTGCAGAAGAAGGAATACTCTTAAAATCTGCATATATTAAGTGTTCACTGCTAAGTCAGGAAAGGAATTCCCTTTAGAAAAAGAAATTTGTGTTTGCGAGGAAGCAGGAAGGGCTCACCGGCACACATCCCCTTCTCCGGGCACGTTGCACAACTGCCTCTACCATGGCCAAGAGGCCTCTCTGTCCTTAAAGTATAAATCTGAACACCTGTATGTTCTGATGAATTGTAAAGACACATCAAAAAGAATAAACTATCCAGACAAAGCAAAAGCTGGGGGGAAAAAAGCAGTATGTATGGTGGCAACATTAATAAAACAATAACCAACAACACTATTTCCTTGTTCTAGACACACTTGAAGCCTTTAAAGCCTCTAATTAGCTCCTTTGTAGAAATATACACACAATGTTTGGTATATGACAGGTTTGCAAGTGCATACGTTACAATACAGTGAATGTTAGTTTCAGAAGAAAAAAAAATCTCATGCCCATTTTGAATGGCAGTCATTCATGCTTTAGCTTCCAAAGGCACAGCAGAGAAGCCCTTTTTTAGAATGAAAGCAAGTGATCCACTCAATTGTTACAAACGCGGTCCTGGGAATATCATGTGCTTTGTCTCTGGTGAATTACAACAAGGAATTACAAATGCTTAGTACTGACTTTCACCTACAGACAAAATTTACTATTCCTCTAAAACTCCTCTGAGTAAGCAAAATCATAGTGTGTTTTTCTTAGGTAATTATATTTTCATCATCTTCTTTTACCTAAAATTCATCAAGAGGAAAGAAGCGGGGGATTTCAGAATAAAAATAATAAAATGACTTTCCTCCACAACAGAGCCAGGCTTATTTCTGGGGCACGGAGTGCTGAATGTCCCTGCAAGGAGTACAGTTTAGCTAACAACTAAAGGTGTTTTCACCAACCTGATCTGCTGAGATGGTGAGCTGCTGTGTAAGCCACAGCGTTTAGAAGATCAAAACGTCCGGGTGACCTGAGAATTGCTTTGGCATTTTCAGGCTTCTCAAAGGCTCTGGTGAACTGCTCCTTAATGGCCAATGGGTGAAGGGAGGCCTTGTCAAAGGGCCCATTTTCTCTGCCAGGGCCCAAGCTGTTTATGCTTTTCTGTGATGGGGCTACGGTTGACTTCACTGATATTTAAGGCTGGATAATGGGAATCAGATGCCTCTTTTGAACAACAGGGTAGGAAGAAAGAGGTTTTTAAAAACAGACCTCTCTCTCTGTCTTTCCTCCACCAACCCATCACTTCTCAAGATGCTTTACATCTCTTATACTTAATGATCTGGAGCAAACCCAAAAATTTCACACTTGATGATGGTATTTTTCTCAAGTTGTGAAAATGAATTACTTGGCGATAGTCTTAGGCTAGTAAATAGAACACTATTTGAGTTATAAAGTGTACTTTTGGGAGAAAAAACCCCAAAAGCTATAGAAAAAGCACCTTCTTGCCAAGTAGGCACTAATTCTGAGCACTGATTTGCAGTGGGGATGATCTTTGGCTGTTTCTCGGATTCATGACATTATGAGTTCAGTGTATGTGAAACCCTGCCCCCCAATTTTAAGATAGAGGAAGATTATCTGACAAATACACGTTGGATGTAATCCATCCAGCGTCACAGGCCAATGCAATGCACCCCAGCCCTGGAGTCTGCAGTTAAGTCTTGCTGCTCATAATCTGCATAGCGTTGGGCCGACTTCATTCTACAGATGAGAAAAGTTAGCAGGTTGGTGTCTAAAAGGTTTCTTTCTACTCTGAATCTCTGTACTTCTAAATATCTTCCAAGTCATTTAAAGAAAGAGAAGGTTTAATGTAAGTAGATCCAAACCCAAACTCTTCTCGGCCGCAGTGCAGCCTGGCACAGGCAACAGGCCGAGGCACAAAGCCCAGACTAAAGAGCTGTGTTGCAACCCTGAGTTGTCAACAGACCCTACAAAATGGGTTTCATCTGGACAAAGACAGGATTGTGAAGTCACTCGTAATTTCAAGGGCCAAGGCTTCAACTGATTCTAAGAAACGCTGAAAGAACGTCAAGCGTGTGCAAGGAATACAGTCTCCTGCCTCGCTGCTCATCTGGAGAGCTGACCGAGTCCCCTCCCTGCTCCTGTAGGATGCTCTGGGCAGGGGGCGCCGCCCTTAAACACCATCTCTGCCTGATGCACCGTCGGACTCGCCAGTCTTCCGTGCTCTCCTCTTTTTTTTGTCTTCCCAGATTTCTCTCTCACTCTCTCCTTGTAGAACAAGGAAAAAACCTGAGTGATGGTTTCAACGTTACTGCTGCTAACTCTGGGGAAGTTAGTTAACTACGATGGGTCTCGGTCTCTTCATCTTTAAGGTGGGAAAGGTGAGCTACTTCATGGGAATTCTTCGGGAGAGCCGACAGGCATCTATGTAAATCCCCCGGTCTCTGCAGAGCAGGACCTGGTCTTGTTTGTTTCCTTTCCCACTTTGCTACTCCTTCCTTGAGCCAAACCCCTCCCTCCTCAAATGCGGCGTTTCCCCAGCTCTCAACACCAGGCCCACCCCTTTCTCATCATCTCTACATGTTCAAATCTCACACAGTCTCCAAAATGCAACTCAAAGACCACTCCTCCCAGGAAGTGTCCCTCGGGCTCATTTCCCTCACCTGACATTCCCTGACCTTCCCGATCCATATCCTGTGGTACGTTTCTGTATCATGTTATAACCATGTACCTGTCTTTTCTTCCTGACTATACCCAGATGCTTGGCAAATACGTGTTCAGCAAACAAAGGTGTGAACACACGACCAAAAGGGTAGCTTCTAATGTGCTGGCTGCTCATTGCACTGAAGACAATGCTTTAGCCGCTGCTCTAAAGGAAAACATTGTCCAGAGAAGAAAACAGCCGGAATCAGAGTGTGAGATGCACTCCGTGGGGTGAGATGCAGCATCTGCCTCTGCGGGAGCTGAGAGTTATGCGGGGGAAGCAGCACAGGGAGGAAAAGCAACAGAAGCCTGGGGCCCAGGACGGTGGCTCCAGCCTCCGCTCAGACGCAGCTCCAACCTGCAGAGACGGGGACCGTCCTGTGCGTCGAATCAGACTTTTGGGATAAAAGAAAGCAGATGGAGAGCGACGAATGTATGGTGGCTGCCATGAAACATGAAAAAGGGAAGAATGAAATAAACAAACAAATAGCCTCAATTCAGGAACACTATTAAAAAAAAGCAAAGACCCTTAGGAAAACTAATTTGATAGTAAGCAACAAGTGCTATCACTTGAGTTGACGTCTATGTGTATGTTTGTGTGTATATTTTGTGGTCCATGTTGAAAAGCAGAGTAACTGGTCTTCAAGTTGCAGTATATTTTCCTATGTTCCAACCCCTTATCATTCCTTTCCATTTATTTTGGCTTAGACATTCTTATATATGAAGGGTAAGAAGCCACTGCAACCACTGTTCTTAAAAATCTGTTGTTAGAAACGCCCTACAAGTTCTTGAGATGCTGAGAATGTGGATTACTCAGTGGGGTTACTGAAAGATTCTTAAAACATTTTCATTTTGCTATGGTAACTGCACTAATGTGACAGCCTGGAGATCTTGGCTCAAGACTGAGATCTGTAGACACACCCTTAAGAGATCACAAGATCTACTCCCTTCTTCAAAATCTACCCCTTTTTAAGCCCCACCAACGTCAGCATGTACCCCACTTGGGGCGCATCAGAACCTCTTCCCTGCAGAGATGCATGGTCCTCCTTACTGCTGGGTGAGGGAGCAGAGGCTGGCCTAACCCCCTGAGTGGTAAGTGCTGGCTTTAGGAGAAGAGCTTTGGAATTCTCTGGAAAGTTTCATTAAAGGAAGAAAAAAAACAACAGCTCCTCTTGGCCAGAATGAGTAGAAGTATTTCACTAGTTGTTTTTGTAAGCTTATCCAAAACAGTTCCATCAAGATGCGATCAACAGTGTTGATATTAAAAAAAAAATCATTTTAGTAACACAACCTGCAAATTCAAGCAGTCCTTATAGAGAAAAGACATGGTCTATTCAGTCTGGCCTGGTTAGCATTCTTCTCGTCTCCCAAAAGACTTCATCAGGGATGAAGTAAAAATGATTATTCAAAAAACTGAAGGCAATACTGCAGAGGCAGTGCAAACCGCTAGCCAGCTGGGTGGTTTGGGTGCAGCATCCACAAGTTCTGATGTGAATTTTACATTCTTATAACACAAGTGAGAATATGCACTATCTTTAATGTTCTAGTATTTTTATAATGATACCCATTTTCTATTTTTAATCTTTAAAAAAATTTTTTTAATTTTGGGGGGAGGTATTTTTTTTTTAATTTATTTCCTGTTTTAACAGAAGTACTGGGGATTGAATCCAGGACCTCTTGCATGCTAAGCCCACACTCTAGCACTGAGCTATACCCCTCCCCTCACCAATGATACCCCATTTTCAAAGCATCCATGGATTCTCTCAAATCCCAGACTCTGGTGACCGTTCCTGGTTGATGGGCTAGAGAGTTAAGTACACACACACAAGCTGAAGGTGTACGTTGAAACAAGGACCAAATCATTCTAATACTGGTGGCAAATTCCTCTCCAGTTTGGTCTTTAATCAATTAGTTTGAGAAAAAGTGATTTTCTTCCCCCTCTACTTAAAATATGCTCACATTAATTGTGAATTCTAAGACAAGTCCTTTTATTCAGGGTCACAGGCAAGGGACAAGTTTCTAAATTATCTGAATGGCAAAATATCTCCCTCTGATCTTATAAATGAAGGGGAGGGAAAAAGAAAAAAAGCAAAAGAAAAATAAAGCTCCCAGGCAGACATGGGCTTCATTGAGGAGAATAAAGGGAAGATAGTGGAAAATGAAAATAAGAGCTGACATTCCCAGGGTGGCAGGCCAAAGAAAAAAAGTTGGGTCTTGCTGATAATCATTTCTCTGACGCCAAGTCACTCCTTCAGCAGTGACACCTTAGTGGCTAGGTCACACTGATGGACCATCTGTGCACTGCTGGGGATTACATACATAGCTCCATCAAGATGAAATGATACTACATTCTAGGGTCTGGCTTCCAAAATAAGTCCAGGCCATTCTTTTCCCTGAGACACTCTACTCCCTAAGGTGGAGAAGTCGAACTCCAGTTTTTTCCAAGGGTCCCACTAAGATAGTTAAACTATCTTAGGGACAGTGGACTGGAGTCCAGTCTGATTACTGCTCTAAAAAATACTCCCAGGTGAGAAACTGGGGGCATCTGAGTAAGATACAGATTATGATCATGGCCCTCCAACTGTGTACAGCTCTTTGCCTCTGAAACAAATAAAATACTGTCATCTGGAGGTGATCTGAGTATTGTACAGAAGGCTGTACAAGTGAGAGAGAACTTTTGCCCATGTGCTCAATGTTCTAGGATGGTTTATGGAATCATTCTGGTGCTACTTAAGGGTTAAGTGACAGAAACAATCAAGAACACTTGTTCGTGTTGTCACATCTGGGCTCATCCTGATTGTCCCCAAAGGTTTTATCTGACAAATCAACAGCTTTTGGAGATGGAGGCCACTTGGGCAATTTGGACTTGAGCGGCTAGTAAAATGTAGCAAGAGTTGAGCCATGGCTGCAGAGGTTGGGTTGGAGTGGTGCATTTTTGGACTAAGCCCAAAAAAGCCTGGTGAGGAGGTCACCAGACGTTGGACCTAGAATTTGATGAAACACTTGTAAAGTCTGACTTCTCCTTTGAATGCTTTCCTAAGAACCTGACTCAAGAGGCAAGGCTTATTTTGTCCAACACGAGCATTTGGAACAAAACCCACAATCAATTTAAGGTAGGAGAGAACCTCCTTTTCTGGCCAAATGGCCTTTCAACTTGGTCTGCTGTAGAGCAAAAAAAAAAAAGTCATAAAGGAATTTCATCCAAACTCCAGTCCCAAGCATCAGGCATCACAGCTCGAATGGCTTCCTTACCCGCAGCTTTTCCTCCGTCTTGGTGGATTGCTTACAGTCGGGGTGCCAAACGGTAGAACCTGGAAAGACAATGCACAGCTAAGAATTAAGGAAATAGAAAGAAGCCACAGTCCTAGTAATCAGAACCTCTGAGAATGGCCTGTGCCCAAATGAATCATCACAACTCCACCTCCAGGTCAGTTTCCCTCATCTTGTCTGAGCTTGTTCTATAAAACTCATAATCCTAGACCACAGAGACCACTAACTGGGCACAGGAATGCTCTGATGAAAGAGACATTTAATTCTCGACTGGGTGGTGGTGATTTTTAAAAACCATATCATTATCTTTTAAAAGTAATGTCTGCGTGCTTACTAACAGCTGCGTTTAATTTCAGAAATACAAGCCACAAGCCATGTTTAAATAACACCAAAACCACCAAGCAATTTAGAGGGAAATAAAGTCAAACCAGACCGGCTACATCCAGAAGCAAACCTCACTGGATTTTTTTTGTTGATCCAATTATCCATAGTCATGTACACAGATACGGGAAATCAATCCAACTGGCAGAAAGGTTGAAAGTTACGTTCGAAATTCAAAAGTTTCCTTTAACTTTTAACCTTTTAATTAACTT